GGATGAGGTGCTTGTGAACTCCCTGCATGCTGAGGAGGGACTAGGCGAGGGGCACCCTGGCGTGATCCTGGAATGTTCTCGAGATGGGACCCCATGGTGGGGGCTGCCTAGCATCCAGAAAGGATAGGCAGTTGCTCCTCTCCTGGTGGGGGGAGTGGGACTCCTCCTGCGAGGGGAGGGGCGACGCCTCCTTGGGAGAGTATGAGTTGGATGATCTGCTGGTTCTGGCTCACCAGCAGTTGTATGGTCTGGAGGAGTTGTTGCTGATGTCCAGCGGTGGGAGTAGTAGTAACAGATGGTTATATAAGTGCAAGGGGAGGCGAAGCCTCCTCCCGGTAGGGCGGGTTGTTGTCTCCCGGCTGTTGGCTCATTGATCTGGTAGTGATTGCCATGAATTTAGTGAGTAGGAAAACTAGTCGATTTCCCACAAATGACGCCAAATTGATGATGCACAAATTGGTATTGCGCAAGATCAACAGTCAAGAATATGAACGGGTGCGGTCAATAAGCAGTAAATAGGATAATCAATGATAGAACAATAAATAAATAAATAACACAGATATTTGTAGTAGTTCGATTCGGATGACTACTCCACTCTCGAAAACGGCAGCGATGACCGGAGATTTTTACTGATGAATAATGTAACCGGGAGAATGTACTCTGGGAGTATTACAATGCTTTTGAAAGAGAGAGAGAACAATGTGTGTAGAGAGGCAAAAAGCTCTAGGTGTAGTGTGTGTAGGAGTTTCAAGGTGTACAGGTTTCTGTGTTGTCTCTCCGGTCTCCCTCTTTATGGAAGGAGCTTACATTATATACGCTTAGTAAGGCGGTGACGTGAGGGAGAGGATTTCTACCACTTTGGTAAGTATAGTTGTGGTAGGATTTGATCTCCATGCGTATCCCGATATTTTCTCCCTCGTGTCCCTATTCCGTCGGAGGAGGACTCTCAGCTGAGTTGGATTTGATCCTGAGGTTGGACTTGAGTTAGAGTGACAAAGAGAAGAGAGTGAAAGAGAGGTAGAAGACCAACACCTGGGTGACGCCCCTTGGTGTCCCCCTTGGGCGGCGCCCTCTTAGGGTATCCCTTGTGCGACGCCCTCTTGACTCCTCCTTGATAATTTAGGCTCCTCCTTAAGTTTCTCCTTGATTCTTGATGAGTGAAGTAGGCCCTCTTAATTCATTGGCTTGGTCCCTTCTTGGTGCTAGCTTGGCCCCATCTTAGTATTGTCTTTGGGGCTCATTAATTTATTGGGCTTGACCCAGTTAATTTCAAACTCATCACAATCAAAGATAGAATATTAAATATTTTAAATTTTATAACAAATGTTCATATTCTATTATAATATTTATTAAAATAAAATTAATAATAAAATTTTAATTTTTTCTTAAAAAAATATAAGTAGTATATAATTATACTATCTATTGGAATTTAATTTGGTCATTTAAATGACGAAATTAAACTAACAAATTACCCTACTTAAATATAGAAAATATTCTGTCAATTACAATTTGACCCATTGTTTATTTTTTTTTATTTTATTCTAATAGATAGTATAATTATATATTAATTATAATTTTTTAATAAAAAATTAAATTTTTATTTTTGATTTTATTTCAACAACTGACATAATAGAACATAAATTTTAGTTGTATAATTTATGTTAAATTATGAATGACTTAAACCCCTTATTTGATTTTTTAGTTTTATTCCAATAAATAATATAATTGTATAATAATTATGATTTTTTTAAAAAAGAATTAAATTTTGATTTTGATTTTATTTCAATAAATAGTACAATATAACATGAATTTTGGTTATAAAATTTGAAATATTTGACATTTGATATTTTATTAAATTATTTTTGGTTTAAGTATAATATTTTAAACTTGAGAGACTTAAGTATTATACGTCTATAAATTTTATAGAGAATTTAAGTGTCATTCATTGATGATCATTGACAACAAGGTCACGCGTATAAATTTTAAAAAATTTGTATATAATATTTCAATGGGGATTCACTTTAAGTTTGTTTGTTTAGAGGGAGAATGGTAGAAAATGCAAGAAAGAGAAATTTTTTAAAATTTTAATGTGTTTGGTTAGCATGAAAAAGAAAATGATAGAAAAAATAATTTTCTTTCATACTTGAATTTTACTCTTATTTTTCTTAAAATATTTTATTAGTTATTAAATTTTAAAAAAATTATTATGAATTTGATTAATCATATAATTTGGGCCAAAGACTTTTGTGTTGATGATTGTCTTAGAATTAGGTTTCGAGCCACTTTTTTAAAAAAAATTTAACATTCAATTGTAATTACATATTTTTTTCTTTTTTAGATCAATTTAATATAATTAAGGATAATTTAGACAATTATAAAAATTTCTTATAACTTTATTTTTTTCAAACAATAAAATAATTTTTTTTTAAAAAAATTTCTGTAAATTTTTCATTCTTATCTATATGCGTGAAAATATATTTTTTATTATTTTTTTTCTTTCACTTTATTTTTAATTATTTTTTTTTCCTAACCGAACGAGTCCTTTTAAGTTTAACTCTCCCAAATATTTTTTACCACCATGTAAACGTAGCATGCCATGCCAAGCCAAGCCAACCCGTTTCCACTAGTAGTAAAACCGAATTGAAGAAAACTGCTCAATTCATAATCCTTGCGGTTGTCGCAAGCCAAAACGATCTCACACTTTCAACTTTCTCTTCCATTCTCTCATACACAGGTTTTTTTTTTTTTTTTCATTTCTCTCATACACAGTTTACCTTCCTCTAAACCCTTTAATTTATACAAACCCTAATTCATATACAGAAAATACATACACATATACATACAAATTTTTCGTTATTGAACGGACCTGAAATCCAATTTTGGTAATCTTTTTAGGGTTTTTATTTCAAAAACACAGAGCACACATATATAGAGTGTAATAGATGAAGCCAATAAGGCTTCCGGAGCCGCCGGGGAGTCCACCGAGGGGTATGCCCGACATATTCGAAGGTGGAGTCTACGGCGTGATCCGACGGGCGGTTATTATCGGCAACGGATTTTCGGCTTCTGAGAATCAGAGCGTCGGTTTGGTTCGAGCCCTTGGGTTCTCTGAGAAGCACACCTTATATGTGAGTTCGATTTTCTAACTTGCTCAGTTTTTGTGTTGTCTTCTGTTTGGTTCCTAAGAAACTCCAGGGAATGAATGTTGAATATAGTGTGATTTGGAATTTTTTTTTTAAAGGTTTTTCTGTTGAAAAACCTGCCCTAATATCGATTTACTGAAGGTTGATTGAATTATGAATTTATTTGCAATCCTTCATATTTTGGGTAGTTAAACTGTATTGGGAATTAGGTTGCTTGTTTTGATGTTTCATTGATTCGTTTTGTACATTATATTCTATTCTTTGGGTGAACAATTAACATTACTTTTATATGCTTGTTGGTAATTATTTTGTTCCAATTTAATTTCGTGTTTCACAAAATGGCTTGGGAAAGCCCTGTTGACAGCTTTAATTTAAGCCCTGTATTGTTTGTTGAGCTTGTGTGACATTATCCTGTCACCACATGCAGCGGGTTACAAGGCCAAGAGGAGGAGTTAATGAGTGGCTGCACTGGCTCCCAGTTTCTTTCCACAAGAAGTTAGATTACATCATCAGGCAGATATATGGTTATTCACAAATTCTCTTGACAGGCAGAGTGAAGAAACTTGCGCCTCTACATACCGAAAATGGTGGCAGTGTTGGCTTATCATCTGTTTTAGAAGCGGATGTTCAGAAGATTATAACAATGGCGCGGGAGACTTTTGAGAAGTATGTCATTCTGCCCCTTACATCTAGCTTGTTAAACTATATTCTTTATCTTGGTTTAGAATTGTTCAAAGAATTACGTTCACATCTAAAAGCAGCCTGTTTCATGCTTAAAACTCTACACAGAGCTAAGTAATTAGTTTTGATATTTATGATGGTTCAAATATTAGGCATTATTTTAAAATTAGTTTCAGACATGATAAAATGGGTAAATTATTAAAGCCTCGCATTAGAGTGGGAAATATGGAAATGCAATGCAAATGTTGACACAGTCATATTTCTAGAGTACGACTTATGACTCTTTGGCTCTCTGATCACCTCTTTTTTGAAGTAGTATTTCACGGTAATGTGAGTCCTGGTCCTTCTTGTATCACGCTTTTTAGAAGGAGCTCTTTGCGTAGTGTGGTGCTGTTAATGGTAAAGATGGTCAAACCATCTGGTGATAACTTTGAAGATGATAGGTTATGCTTGGTTAATTCAAGTAACTGCTGAGATACTTGGATCAGTCAATCGGGTTTCAGGGAATGTAGAGACTTGATCCAGCTGCAGATATCATAACATAGCATGAAAATATTGTGCGACTGTATTGTGACAGTGCTATGTCAAAGGGCCATTGTGTGACCTTATTCTTAGAGGCACCATGAAGTAATTCTTTATTAGAATCATAAATACATTCCCAAGTTTTCACCTTATAAAGGATTTCTTACCAAAATGTAGGATGAAGAGGTTTTGGATAGATGCATGGCATATGAAGGACACGTATGCTTATCGACTCTGAAATCTGTTTCATTAAAATGACTCAAGTCTTTGATGCATGCTTATCATATGACCTCTATATTCTTCATGAAAATGCTTGCAAACTTTTTTTGTTTAATTTCTCAGAAAGAAATTTTAAGTTTTTATAGTGTGTACAAATTATTTTTCCACTTAGTGACTCCCTGGGTTTTCTAGCAATAAAATCTGTGCTTGCTATTGCTCTCAGTCAAACATGCATTAACTGCTGGGCCTTGTTCTTAGTCTTTGAGGTCTTGCTATTTTACTTCTCTTTTGCCCTTGGACTTTGTCTAGGGGCATTACTTCCTGTTAAATTACATGTATATGCCAAAAGACTTATATTTTCTAATCTGCTTAGGGAATACTACTAAATGTTTTGAGCTTAGTGTGGAAATTTCTTATTGCCTGGACAATTTTTCTGCTCTGATTCTAGTTTTTCTTATTGCATCTGGTCTAAATAGAATTGCCCTTAACTGATTCTAGCAGGGGGTTTCAAAGGGAATAAGTTTCATGGTTATATTAATTTTAATTAAATGACTCTTTTGGTTTTTGGCAAATGATATACTTCTTTATTCTTATTACATTGTAGCAAAGTAGCACAAACACGTCTAAAAAGGCCGCATGCCCATGTCAGACACATAACTTTGTGGACACATGTCTATCGAGTACATTCTAAAAGAATAACAACTTTGATTTTGGACACGCTTCCACATTTTTTGGATTATAACTCGAAAGTTAGTGTATGACTTTCTCATAGCTTGAAGAAAAGTAAAATTACGAAGATTAATTAAATAAAAGGACATAAGAAATTTATTAGCAATTTGGTACTAATTTTAAAGTAGAAGTAAAATATTGGAATATTTAGTTAAAGGAAGGGGCATGGGAGTATGAAAGAAATCATCTAATGAATTTTTGCTATGCTCTGTCTGTGCAGTATGGATTGTTATTATAGGTGATAATTGACAATGATGACTCATAAGCTAAAGATTTGTGATACACAATGGCTATAAGATTATGTAAGCAATCTGTATTATATTACATAAAAATGTATCTATTTTGTCGTATCCTGGACTTGTCAGTATCTCAAGTTCGTGTCTGGGTCTAGATCTGCAATATTACTTGTTGACATATCGGAGTTATTGTTTCCACTTTCCAGTTCACCGAAATTCAATTTACCAATTGCATTTTCCTTGATGAACACCACTTCACCTTCACATTTTAATGTGTTTTAGTGTGTACTTCCATGCTTTCATCTTTTAAGTCTAGACGCCAACTTATTTTGGCTACTTACAATGTTGTCTTATACCATTTTTCAGGGATGGCCCTTTGCTGGTGGTTGCATCTGGCAGAGATACTATATCAATTGCAAGCTCTTTAAAAAGATTAGCATCGGAGAATGTGTTTGTTGTCCAGGTTTGCTACTGTAATCTTATTGTTGTAGTGTTAGTTCCTTCTTAGTTGATATATATATATATATATATGAAGGAATGAATAAGCAGTTATCTGCTGGCCTGGTTTGTCAACTTCTAATAAGAGCTTACCTGGAAACCCTTTAATACCACTAGGTGCAGTTATACGTTTTTCCCCATTCAGAAACACTACAAGTGTCTTCTGCAATATTCATTGATTTCTGGATGCCCGTCAAACTTGAGTCAAATTCCAAAAAAACATTTTTTAAAATTTTAAATATATTATGGATATCTGACTCAGGATAGTGCGTAGCACATTTGATGATGGATCATATGTAAGGGCGCAACTTGGGCGGGTCAACCCAAATTCAACCCGAAAAAAACAGGTTTTGGGTTAGAATTTTAATACTTAGGTTGGGCTTGGATAAAAAATCCCCAATTCGAATTGAATTCGGACAAGCCTTGGGTTAAGGCCTCAGGTTGTCAGGTTCAACTCGAATATTAAAATCAAGTTGAACCTGATTATTATATCGGATTGAACCCGAATATACATAAATATATTTAATTAGAGTTAGTATTTATCTTCATTGTTCAAAGTTCAAACTTTCACATCACTTCGAGTCTTCACCCGTACACCTCCATCACTCTCAGATCCCTCTTTCACTCGTCACTCGTCTTTCGTCTCTCATTTAGTTTCAGACTCTCAGCCGCCCTCTCTTCCTTGTATGAGTCTTGTCTCAGACTTTCAGTCTCCCTCTTTCACTTGTCACTTCTCCCTATTTTATCAACCCAAATCCAACCCTATTTTAATCCAAAAATAGACCGAATTAAATAACCAGAATTCAACCCAAGCTCGCCCAATTGAACCCGGACAGTACTAGGGTTGAGCACCTCGGGTTGAGGTAGAGTTAGGGTTAGGGGTAGGGTTAGGGTTATGATTAGGGTTAGATTAAAGATTATATACTTAGGGTTGGGCTAAGGTTGACCTCTCAACCCGTCCAACCCGCCCGAGTTGCGCCCCTAATCATATGGTGGAACCAAAGGCCTTTCCATTACTTTGAAAAACATATTTTTCCTTTGTAATATTGCAACTTTGCAAGTATCAATGAAAATTTGAACACATTATCAACAATTTAGGAGTTTGTAAGGAAATAATTAATTGAAATATCCTGCCAGCGTTTTCTGTTTCCCTTTCTTCTTCTTGAAAACGTTATCATGAAATCAGATACTGCTTTCTTGAAAAATGTTGATTTTATATTTGTGCTGGTTATTAGCTTATGAGTTATTACGTTCATTAATTCAACTGGTACTATGTGAATATGCTTACGGGTCTGACATATTCTTGTTTTTGGCTTCTAAGGTTCTTTCTTTTCTTTTATCTTTCACACTTTCGGATTCAGATTCAGCACCCAAGGTCCCATTTGAATCGGTTCGACATGGTGATCACCCCTCATCATGATTACTACCCTTTGACTCCTCGTGCACAGGAGCAGGTCCCTCGGTTTTTGCGGAAGTGGGTAACTCCGTGTGAACCTCCTGATAGGCATGTGGTACGTATTTGGATGATGTACTTGTTGAAGTGTCCTCCTTTAGTATCTTTATGAGAAGTTTTGTGGTTTACTGACTGTCGAATCTGTCTTTTGCTCAATATTATGCACTGCTCAGGTCCTCACTGTAGGAGCTCTTCATCAAGTTGATTCTGCTGCACTTCGCACAGCAGCCATTTCATGGCATGAAGAGTTTTCACCTCTGCCAAAGCCGTTACTTGTGGTCAACATTGGAGGCCCCACGAGTAATATTTTTTGATACATTCTAGTGTTAGATTTACCACAGCGGAATGGTGCTTTTTCCTGTTTTATTGATATCTGCCTGTTATTTGTTTCTCCTAAGTTGCAGTGTCTGTTTCATTTCTGAAAGTGGCCTTTCTCCTTGAAATACTTGTGCAAGTTCGGTTGATTATTTTCTATACATTGCTATTTGTATCCATCAACGGAATCATGGCATGACAGTTTCTCATATGTTTCTTTTATAACTAAATGACTATCAGGGCTTGTCAGTAATTTGGAAGCATAGAGTAGAAACACAGGGTCTGCTTGGTCTAGGAGTTTCTTTTAATTGCTAGAATAGGTGGCAACATGTTACTATTTAGAGCAGAGATTCTTCTTCTGTATATTATGGTTTGGGCAAAGTGAGGTAGGGATTGGACATTCGTCTAATTGAAGCAATAAACTAGTTTCCGTGCAAACACGTTTGTGTGTGTAATTTAATGTGTCTTTAATTGATTGCGTGTGTAATACATGTGAATGCATAATATTGTTGATGCGGTGTTGGTCATGTGTGTGAGATAGAGAGGTGAGGCAACTGTGTGTGTCAGAAAGAGATGGTTAAGGAAGAGAAATGTGAGAAAGAGAGAGAGAATCATGGCTAATAATAATAAACTAATAATTAACTACCAATAAAGGTAGAGGACTCCAAATCCCTCCTCTAGTACAGATTTTCATTAAAAAAGTTAGACGTCTTAGAGATCGTGGTTGGGGCCATTGTCCACCTCAGTCCTTACTCGCAAAGACTATCCACCTTCTGGAGTCACATTCGAGGTTCAAAATGTCGGCAGAGATCGATATGACTCGGTTGTGTTGTATCCACCTCGGCCCCAACCACACATAATCGGGTTTGACTTGGTTGAATCAGCTAAACTCATATACAAGTCAACTAAAATTGGTCGAATCATCACTGACTTGGCAGATTCATCGAGGAGTCCCATAAATTGAAAAGTGCAAGCAAAAAATCGAAATAAAAAAGGGGAAGACAAAAAAAGAAAACCAGCAACTGTCACACAGGCAAGAGCAAACAAAACCTAGATGAGATCATAGAACAAGGAGAAGAAACTGAAAGCATAATTGCAAAATTCAAGCCACTACGAGTCTTCCTTTTCTTCTTCTTCCAAAGATTCTTCTTCTTGTTATTGTCAGAGTTGTCTGCTTTGTCATAGTGTTCGTCTGCTTCGATATTGGGTCTACTGCATTTCTACACCCTGTTGACCCCTTTTCTTTCTCCCCCTCTCTTCTTCCTTTTCCGTTTTTTACATCCACACACAAGTCTGGGTTGGCAACCTTTTTTATTTTAATGTTTCCTCTTTCCTGTTATCTACCCCTATTTCCTATTTCCTCTATCTTTCGTCTTTAACTTTTTTGTCTAACATTTGAGTCTACAGCAAGCGGCAAAACATTTTTTTCCCAATCTCTGGTTGTGGCAATGGGCAAATTGCCATTGATTAACTGCATAGTTGCTATATTGTTTAGTTGAGATTTTGTTGCTTATATTTTTCTAATTTTTTTTTTAAAATAGATTTTTTCAGCCTGTTATCTAGCATTTTATGTGTATCGACCGATAGTATTCCGCAACTATGCAACTGATGTATCGTAGTGTCTCCTAGTCGATTGCCAATATCATGATCTTAAACTATAGTCACATTATTCTAGGTAACTGTATGAGTGTCACGTTGTTTTGGAGCAAATGCAAAAAGCTAGGTGTCCTTCACTGTACCAAGTGACAAGCAATTGAGACATGGTTAGAATTTTCTAATTTATGTGTAAATTGAATTCTATGGAGGCATAACAAGAAAGGCGGAATGTAGCTTATGAGATAAAATGTACTATGCGAATGTCTGAAAATAAAATAAAACATCAATGATTCACTTCGGAGTATAAAATATTAAGAATCAGGTGCTTTTAACTCGAGGCATCTTCCTCATGAGCTTAGGGATAATTAGCGCACTGGATCCTATTTGGTCATTGGCTAAGCATTGGCTTGAAATTTCGTTGCTTATGGAAATGAAATTAAAAGTTTTGCCACCTTTAGAATTTCTTCATTGGTTTTAGAATTTCTTGGTAAAATCTTGGAGAATGGCAAATTTGATGCAAGAAGGCAATCTGACCCTCTTCTAGGTACAGTGTAAATCAGGGTTTCTTGTTGGATTGTGTCTTCATTTCGTGCCTTTTATTTTCATATCTGTACAAAAGAGTTATTTTACTATCACGAAGACTAGGCAATCAATTTTGTGACTCAGATTTAAGTGTTTTTTAACATTGGACACCATTTTTGGTTCTTGCAAGGATTAACTCAACTTAGCATAGCCTTGTCCCAACTAGTGGGAGTTGGCGACATGAATCCTCTTCTTTCATTGTGCTAAATCAAGGCAATAGTTTTTGTTAAGTTGCAAGCTGTCATATCTACTTTACCATTTCACTCTTCTGGTTCAGTTAAAGGTTTTCTTCTTTATACATGTCCAAACCATCTAGGTCAATTATCTCTTGATTTGTCTCCTATGTTTACTATAGATTAAAGTAAAATTTTGAGTTGCTTCAATTTTATAATTCGATCCCAATTTATGATTCTGCAACTTGAAATTGTCTGCTTTTTCTATTTGTTCAAATATTTCTGCTGGATTATTATGCGTGTCTTTCCATGTATATGTTTCTAATTTTTCGGTGAAGTTCTGAAGTATCCATTCTTTTTTTACTTCTTTTTCATATTCTATCATAGTTATTAGTTGTGTGCAGCCTTTTTTGTTACTTATTCTTTCCCTGGATTTTGATTTAGGCCGCTGTCGATATGGTGCTGACCTTGCGAAGCAGTTAACAGCCTCTCTGCACAATGTTCTTGCAAGCTGTGGTAGCATAAGAATATCTTTCTCAAGGAGGACTCCTGAGAAGGTATTATGATATGATTCAAATTTTCACCTAATATGGTGGATCCTCCGTTTATTTTCTTTGCATCTTGTCCTAATTTTTTATTTTTATTTCTACTTGTGCTTTGCCAATAACAGGTTTCCAATATCGTATTGAAAGAATTTGGAAATCATCCAAAAGTTTACATATGGGACGGTGAAGGTAATCTCAAGTTGATAAGTATGTGAAGAGATGAACAATTTCATAATAAATTTGGATATTCATTTGATGTGTACTTCATTTCACCATCTTTAGAACCAAATCCACACATGGGGCATCTAGCTTGGGCTGATACTTTTGTCATCACTGCGGATTCAGTTAGTATGCTGAGTGAAGCTTGCAGCACCGGGTATGCTTGAGGGGAATTATCTCAATGATCAATGATAATCCCCTACATGTTTGGTTTGTTTCGTTTTCAAATAGGATTTATTATGTGAGTTGCTGTGTGCTAGTTATTTCTAAAATTTTGTTCGTGGCTCGTTGCAGTAAACCTGTATATGTTATTGGTGCCGAGCGTTGTACGTGGAAGTTTGTGGAGTTTCATAACTCTCTGATGGAACGAGGTCTTGTTAGGCCATTTACTGGTCTTGAGGATGTAAGTAACAACTGGCAATCATTTTACTGATTTTCAGATGAGAGAAACTTGAAAGGATGTCTGCCTCATAGATATATAGATACCATTTAACTAATGACATTTTGTCCTCTACAAACTTTTATCTTTCTTCCAGAAGGTGAGGAGAAAGGATAATCTAGGGCGTGTAATACTGGGACAAATCTTAGTATTTCAGCTACCTGTTTCATATAATTTTGCTAATCTTTGAACTTATTTTTCCCAGTCTATTTGGTGTTTGTGTTTGATCTCCCCATATTGCTATGTAAGGCCATATGATTTCTCCAGTTGGACATTTGTCTTAGCTTTCATGGGACCACACCCAAAATTTGCCATTTTTTGTTCCTTTATGAATCAGTTATCACTTCTGTGACCAGCATTGGTTTGTTGCATTTGCCAGAGTGATTAGAGAGGATGTTGAATCTCCCAAAAAAAGAGGAAAAGAAAAAACATACTATTGTTAATTTGAGGGCTGCTTCCTGTCGAGGGACTTAAAACTCATTTTGAAGTTTCTCACCTTTCATCTCCTTATCCCCCATAATGACTGTTTGCCATAAAATATTGAATTATTTTGGTGCAAATTATTAATAAGAATGTTTGTTGGTGATTGTCAGATGTCAGAAATCTGGAGTTATCCTCCACTAAACGACACAGCAGAAGCAGCCAATCGGGTTCACGAAGCACTTGCCGAGCGTGGATGGAGATTGCGGCCATAGAGAAGAACCCTTTATTTATGTTGTAGTATTTTTCTCATTGTTTTATGTACTACTTTCTTTAAAGCTACTTGTTATGAATCTTGTGCAGAAATACCTTAGACATGATACTGGGGTCAGCATTGATGGCTTATTCTTTTGCCCTGGGGGGTTTTGAAACTAGAATAAATGTCAGCTTTATTAGCACGGCTTGTGAAATAGTAAGAGATGGGTGTCTTTTGGGGGAGAATTTTGTGTTTTGGAACTTCATTGTATGGAATCGTTTTGAGCTGTTCTTCATGGGATTGTAGTTCTGGAGTTTTGGTTGATCTAACTCGAAAGACTTCGATTTTCAGTTTCCCTTCAGATGCAAGCTAAAAATTTGGAGAAATAAGCAGAATAAAATTTGATAAATCTAATGAATGGGGGAGCTAGCCTTTGAGAATTAAAAATTCTCTTTGATATAAAACAGTAGGGTTGTGATTTTTCCCTAATGGGTTTTCTCACAAATTGGGTGTTTTCTTGGCGTATTTTTTTTTGTATGCAGAGAACCTTATTTATAAGGGAGCATTTAACTAGCCGTTATCACTTAATAAAATATCTTCAACTTTTCAATATATTTTTAACTCCACCAATATTTTTATCACCCTCTGCAATCAAAGTAAACTAATTATACTCCAAGTAGGATTGACTAGTCTTTCTTTACTTGATGAGTCTCTCTAACCAAGCCACCCATACTGACTAGAAAAGATCTACCATAAATATTCAATTATATTAATGTAATATATGTATACATGTATCATTATAAAATAATATTTAATACATAATAATTTCACAAAAAATGCATTTATGATATATGTCATGAATAATGCAATATTTGACCAATGGATTAAGATTTTATATATTTTCGAATTTAACCACTAATCGTGTTTTAATTAATATGGAGGAATTTTAACACATATTCTAACAAAAATCACCTCTTTTAAGGGGCCATGGATATGGTTATGTGCCTTTGATAGATACTGAATGTCATCTTCACAATAGAGCTCGGAATAGTGGAACAGATATGTCAGATAATAAGGGGTGTGATGTGGAAAAAGCCGATGACCGAGGGGGTGGACTCCTCATGGAATGACATTTCTTCTTCTTGCTATGTCATGTACTTACTCCAACATTATATATTTGTGTCTCTGTGAGTGTGAGTGTGTGTGCGTTGTTTTGGTGTTTTTCAACTGTTCTCTGTCTAGAGCGACATATGAAATGTAACGAAATTATTGGATAATTCTATGTGTACCAAAACTTGCACTAAATCAATTATAGTTGTTGATTAGTGATGGAATTTACTGATCCAACGACTACAAGTGATTTGATGTAAGTTTTGGTGCACAAAGCATTGCTCGGAATTATTTCTTTTGCAAGGAAATTGAATTGAAGCCCAAATGAACCCCTTTAAGTAATATCATGTAAATCTAGCACCATGATCCTTCCCCTTCTTGGCTTGACATACTAAAGGTCATACTTTGTGCATAAGGTTATTTGCCGCTGTATTTGGAGAAGATAAGTAATAAGTTGTCATTTTTCACTTTAGTTTGGTCAATTTTTGAATTTGAATTTATAGGTTGGCCTCGACTCAAAGGCTTGCAAATGAAATTCATAAAAAATTAAGATTGTTTTTCGAAACAAAAAAAGAAAACTTGACAATAAACACTTATTATTTATACATCTGATTAAAAAAGACAAAAAAAATGTTTCATCATAAAAACATAATATCTCGTAACAATTGCTACACCTATGAAGTGATGTTTGAATTATGTTGTTGTAGAAGAAAAAAAAAATAGAACTTATTGTAGTCTATTTTGTTATAGGAAATATAGTTGTAACCTGCTCCGATATGAGATCAATAAATTAGAGAAGACTGAGTGGGTGATTGATTAGACTATGTTTAAGTGATTAATTTATAGCTAATCACTGACTCCATTGAAGGGCATAATATAGGTTTTATCTTAATGCTTCCCCTTCGTTGTGGAGCCAATACGGTAGTATTGAAATACACTAAAACATTGGTTAAAATACACCGAAACATATTTAATCAATGATTCGTTTCTAATTTTTTGAAAACAGAAATTTTTCGACCGTTTTAAAACAAAATTTATTTCTTAATCCCATGCCCGGAGGCTATATCGGCAAAACTCTAATTTTTTGTAAGTGGAGCAAGTTGGCAACAACTCCTCGTCTGTTGTTTAAGCTGTACCTACGAGCACCAAACTTCCCATAATCCTCCTTATGTCAATCAAAACTAATCCATTCTCTCTCCCTCCTCTACCATCCTCTATATAACCTTAACTCATCAAGGGTATTCATATCAATCTCTCAGTTTTCTTCGAGAACAATCCTCTCTCTCCCCTACAAACCCAATGGATTCAACAAAAAACAGCAGTGAAATGGCAATCAACGTATCAGAATCACGATCCGGCAAAGGAAAAGCTGCTGCTGTTGCCGCCGCTCCTGCGGTGGTTACGGCCACCACAAAAGCTACCCCATACAAGGCAGGAGGATGGAAAAGAGGCGTCGCCATTTTCGACTTCATTCTGAGGCTTTGTGCCATTACAGCTGCTTTGGCTGCCACCACTACTATGGGAACTACTGATCAAACCCTCCCCTTCTTCACTCAGTTCTTTCAGTTCCAAGCAAGCTATGATGATTTCCCTGCTTTCTCGTATGTATCCTTCGCTTAATCAAATTTCTTTTAAGCATAAGTGCGCGGTTTGGTGATCGAACAAGAAGTGATACATAAACTCGCTCTGCTAACACTTATGTTGAACCGACACGCATGATTCGTGGGTGATCATTATATGTCTTGGTTTATGGTTATAACTGAAATTTTGAAAAACGTTTGATTGAGACGATTACTCGTTTAAAAAAAGACACTTGTTGGCATGTACACGTATCATCCTGTTTTATATTTTGTTTATGTGATGAATGTGCAGGTTTTTCGTGATTGCGAATGCCATAGCTAGTGGATACCTTGTCCTCTCTTTGCCCTTCTCAATTGTGTGCATTGTTCGTCCACATGCAGCAGGAGCGAAGCTCCTCCTCCTCATCTTTGACACTGTAAGCATAATCCACGGACTTCGGTAGCATTATAGATATCTATCCTGTCGGATAAAGTGGGTTAGTGATAAAAAGTATTTTATTTACATCGAATTAATTCATGTCTAACAAATTATGTAATATTGGTTTGTATCATATATGAATCGTATATAACCGGTATCTGATCCACTCGTTTACAAAATGAGTGACATAAACTAAAATTTTCTAATGTAGTCCCGTGTTAACAAGTTTCATATTTTGACACCCCAAGGCAATATAGCGAAAATTATGACTTATATGAACTATTTCCGACTTATTTTGAGTCAATTGTAATTATCACTTAACTGTTATTATTCTACATAATAATATTATTCCGACGTAATTAATTTCTTGTATTAATTATTAACTTAATTCATCATTATCATTAAATTTATAGTCGGGCCTTAAGAGTGTTAATCCAATGATAATAATTAATTAAGCTGGTGAATTAGGTCCCTACATATATTCAGTGTGTATTAGTGTTTGGTGTTCCTAAAAAATTCACTATAAACATTGCAGGTGATGGTGGCTCTTACCACGGCCGCCGCAGCTGCCGCCGCCGCCATCGTGTACTTAGCACACAGTGGCAATTCAAGCACAAACTGGCTGGCCATTTGCCAACAGTTCACCGACTTCTGCCAGCGTGTCAGCAGCGCGGTGGTGGCTTCCTTCATCGCCGCCGTGTTCTTCCTGTTCCTGGTGGTCCTCTCTGCGGTGACTCTCCGCAAGCACTAGCGATGAAAGAAGTCTGTGATCAATTGGCATTAGTTATTGTGGACTTACTTGCAATAGTATTTCATTTACTGCTGTAAATCAAGATGTGGATCCGATCCGACCCATATCATGAGTGTGGGAATTTTATGTATTTGGGTTTGGTGTATTTTGTAAATTTAATGAAATTAATCTGTTTGCATCTCAATTGTCTTTTTTTTTTGTTGGTGCAATTTTAAGGTGAAAAATGAAACTTGATAAAGTCAAAAAGGGACAAAAAATGAATAATTGTGTGGGCATCCGCAAGGGAAAAATCTATAATTTTTTATTAACTCGAGAAATAATTTTTTGATATTATATCAAAAATTACGTTTAAGTCAAATTAAAATTCAATCAAAGCTACTATCAGTACCAAATTTTTTAAGGATCGATCCCTTGTTAACTGCTCCTAATTCTAAACTTTGGATCATTATTTCTAATCTCATTCGATAGGGTAGCTTTTTCCTCCAAATGAAGAAGAGGGGTTGAATCTCAAGTTCTACTACTTAGAAAGTGATATCTCCAACATTATATATATTTTTTCTTATAAATCATCTAATATCAATTCAAGTGAGACTCATTCTATATATGAAAACCCTTGCTAGGACCAACCTTCACCGATAAAAATAACACTCTAAAGCATCCCCTTCCAAAATTCAAAAAAAAAAAGAAAGAAAGAAAAAAGTGGCCCTTCATGTAGGGGTGCAATTTGGGTTGGGCAACCTGATTTCAATCCGAGCCCAACCCAAAAAAATTAGGATCTGAGTAAAGGTTTTTAATACTTGAGTTGGGCTTGGGTCAAAAACTCTAACTCGAATTCAATTTAGATTAGACTCGGGTTAAGGTCTTGGGTTCACGAGTTCAATCCGAATCCGACAAATTAAAGCCCTAATTGAACCGATAAAGTAATTCGGAATTATTAACCCGAATTTAACTCGAACCTGCCCAAATTAAACTCGGGTAGTACTCGGATTGAGTTTCTCAACCCAAGGTAGGATTAAGGTTGAACTAGGATTGACTGTCCAGCCCACCCGAGTTGCACTCTACCTTAATGAGACCAAAAGCATCGGTTCCCTCTTACCTATATTTCCTACATCATTAATGTAATATGATATTATGTTATTATTAATAATGATCTCATTGAATAACTACCTTAATTGAGGTTCATTATGTTTATTAGTTTTATTGATGATATTTTGCATTAATAATTTTTTGATCAGGCTGTTGTGTTTAATATTTGAATCCAATTTGAGTATCTAAAAATATTATATCTGGTCTTTGCATTTGATTAATGTGTTTTTTTATTAAATTATTAAATTAATTTTTTTTTTATAATTAATAATTATAATTGAATCAAATTAAGATTCAAGATTCCCCACATAAATAACTTTCGCTTTCTCTCTATCTGCATTTTATGTATACTAGTCATGTACCACATGCCTCGTGCATTAACAATTTTTGTATAGAAAATATTATTAAAATTTTTTTAGGTGTATGTGTACCTAATTAAATATCATCTAAAATTTATAAAAATTATGTTTTATCACTCGTATTATATTATAGAATTCAAAAAATTTTGTCTGTTCCCAACACTTCGTTGTTCTAACTATAAGAAAAAAAAGATAAAAATAATTCATTTGATTATGGTTCAACTTAAAATTCATTGAAAAATAATAATTATTAATATTATAACTAATGCTTATTTTTAAAGGGTAACATAGTCAATTAACAAGTTTCATAAATATTAATATTTATACATAGAGAATAAAAAATTAAAAAAAATGTTTAGGGTAATTTAGAAAATTAAACACATAAGAACATGATGATAATTTGGATACTTAACTATGAAAAGTCTGCGGTATTTAAATTTTTTTGTAAGAGTAGAATAGTGAATTAAATTTTTTTATGCTAAAGTACTTTTTTTAATTATATAGATATAAATATAGATATAGATAGGTAAATTATATTTTGACTTTTTTAATTATCGTCTTGATTTCACTTTGCCATTTAAACTATTAAATTATATAATTAAGAGTATAATTTAAAAAAATAATAGTTTAGAGAATAATATAAAAATAAAAATAGTTGAGGGGGTCAAAATATAATTTACCCTATATATATATATATATATATATATATATATATATATTCTCTCCCTTGGCCACCATGCAATGCTTGTGCTGCGCAGAAAACCAGAGACCTCACTGTTGCGAAATTGGTGACTCGGGTGGGTCTCCCTTTGAATTCATACTGAGTCAACCCTCTAAATTGATCTTATATAGACATCAAGATCATACCCCTATGCATGTACATCGTTCTTGATCATTTACGGCCCAATCTTTCTTTTGATTTTTCTCAAATGTTAACTTTCTTGAACTTTTCTTTGATGTATCTGTGTTCCTTTTCGGTACCTTTGGGGTAAAAGTCTTTGTGTTTTCTTATTAAGTTCCGTGGTGTGATTTTCGTTATTACATTTCAATCGGTGTCTAAAATCGCTGAATGTTGGATGTGGACTTTAATTTGATGATTGTGTAAAATTCGGGATTATTTTTGTGGTTGGTTTTGAGGTGTGATGAATTTAGAAGTGTTTCTGTGTTCTTATTAATTTCCTGTGGTATCATGTAAATTATTATATTTCAATCGGTGTCTAATTTCGCTGAATTTCGAGTTTCATGGACTTCAATTTCATGATTTGTAAAATTCAGGATTTTGTGGTAGAATTTTTTTTTTTTGGGTTGATTTGTGAGGTATGATGAATTTGATTGCAGGCTTGTGCGAGCTGGATATTTGCGGGATTTCTTCGGGTAAATTTGAAAACTGTTAAAAAGGGTTTTGTTGTTTTTGAAACGTGGGGGTTCAAGGTCTCATGAGAATTGTTAGGGGAATGCAGAGATCGATTCCAGAGGAGCAGAGGGAATTGGGCTGGAACAACTCATTCAGCCAAGGAATTGGTGTGACAGTGCCCAAGGCAAGAACGCGGGGCAAATTGAAAACCAGGGGTTTATACCTCTAATTTTGGGTTTCTTAAGAAAATAAAGGCTAGGGTTCTGAGGTTGCTGAAGAAGGAAAATGACCCGCATTTTGGTTCAGCGAGGTTCTGGGTCATCGTCGAGCCAGAATAGATCATCTTCTTTGGTGCCAAGTTCTTCTTCTCTAGCCCCACCCCAGTCTCAGGTTACAAGTACTTCTCAGGTTGCTTCAGCTGTGAAAGATGGTGAATTGGGAGAGGAAGTGCCAGAAAAAGTGGCCGTGGAAGAGCTCTCAGAATATTATGGTGCCAGTGACAGTAAGGGAGTGAAAAGTGATGAGCTTTTGCAGCAAAGCTCGAACAATGATTGTAATGATGGTGATTCTGAGGAAATTCTTGATGATGAAAAAGGTGGGATTGGGGTTGTGATTGATGATGATATGGGTTCGAGGGAGTTGGTGAGAGGGTTAAGCAGGATGAGAACTGCAGAGGAGGGAAATGAAGGATCGGGTGGAAGCTCTTTGCAGATGGCAATAGGGGGTTCCTATCTACCTCTGCCTCCAGTCCCACCTCCAAAACGTTCTTCTGTGAATTCAAATTTGAGGAGATTTGGATCAGGTGGTTCAAGTGCTGTGTGTATAGGATCGTCTAGAAGAGCAGCTGTGTGGCCTATTGTTTCAACTAGAACATCACAAAGTGGGTCTCGGCCTTCTTCCCCCAGGTCTCATTGTGAAAATGAGGGTTACAATAGTGCTGATGAGAAAAGCCCTTGCTTTGGATCCTCCTATCATGATGCTGTGAGTTCTGATTGCTTTGGCCTCTTAATAGTCAAATGAATTTTGGATGTTCTGGTGATGAATAAGTTACAGTGCTTGTTGACATATCCTTGACTTGTGCGTCAATGATTGCTCAAGAACTTAAGTTAACACCCTGTTAATATATGTAGACGGGAGACTTGCTGGTATTCATGTTGTCTTATGTTTCTTAAAAAATGTCTTATCTAATGGTAAAACCAAAACCATTTTTGAAAAATTGATGTGCTGCATTTGTTCCAGGAGAGGGAACGCCAGTTTGAGATTGATATAAGACGGGTAAAGGGCTTAGAAGTCAAAAGAATGCTGGATGATGGGAACTGCCTCTTTCGTGCTGTTGCGGATCAGGTGTATGGGGACTCTGAAGTGTATGATTTGGTTAGGCAAATGTGCATAGATTATATGGTACGAAATTATTTATTTTTGAACTCCAAGTTTGGTGTGCATTGTTAATGTTTTTTTTATGCAGTGTTCTCTTCTAGTAGTTGTATTGGGTTCTATTCTCTATTATTTGTGACAAAGAAGCTAGTGTATTGACGTATTTGCTTGTTTCAGGGTAGGGAGAATTGGAAAACAAAAGTTGCTAACTAATAAAAACAAAAGAAAGAAAAGGAAGCAGAACAATGTCAAGCTCTATAGCTTTCCCCGTCCTATATCCTTGTGTACGATCTAATTTTTTATTGACAATCATTAATTTAAGAGTTAGGATGTTTTTTTGTAGAGGTTGTTTTTATTGGTCTATATATATAGTTTGGTTTGTTTTGCATTATTTGTTATCTGAAGTTTTTTGATGCGTCGCAATATTCTTAAGATGAGTATGTCCTAAATTCCCGTATTCATACAAAAACATTCTAGGAGAGGGCTCGTAATGCTCTTCTCAAAGATCACTTGTGAGAGGCAGCAATTCTTCATCTGGTAGCTTCAAAATTGAGAGTAGAAAGAAAAGAAAAGAAAAAAGAAAGGAGTATGATGTTATGTTTGGTTTGGTTTCCAAAAGAAAAAAGACAAATTGAAGGGAGTTTTTGTTCTTAATTTCCTGGCAGTCCACGAAAAAGTGGACATATGTATTTGAGATTGGAGGAGCCATTACTTTAAAAAGTTGTGATAGGGAGACCCTTTTTGTCGCTGAAAAGATGACGTCAACCAATATTACGTTGAAGATTCTAACATTGACCCGCTATTACCCATTTAAATAAAATTACTATGTCTCTATCTCGTTAGGACAGAATTAATCATGTCTAGACATTCTAGTTCATGTATCCAGACCCATATTTTCTTCTTCTCAAACTTTGTACACCACCTCCACTAGCAGTGCAGCAACCATCATCATTCCCACCCTAACTGCCACCAACCAACAAATTCTACTTTCAACTTCCTGCTATAAGATAGAAATGTTAAAGTTGACAAAAAAGTGTAAACATGGAATTACTTGGAATGAGAGAAGCCTTTACTTTTGAAAAAAGGTGATTTCGTCTTTTTAAAAGTTAATACTATACATCAATCTCCCATCCAAATGTGAGATTGGTATTACAACAATGGATGCACGTCTCATCCAAATAGAATTTTTAGAGGGGGAATTTACTGTTTCCATTAGAATTAAACCTAAACTGGGTTTGATTGGTGGCTCACTGGGATTTATGGGTCCAATAAACCTAGGGTTAGACTTTCGTTATGGAAAAAATTAGCAGGGTTGTTTGGAGTATGTTGTCCTAGGTGGTGTATTTGAGGAGATTTTAATGTTATAAGATGTTCGAGGGAGAAGTTGAATGGAGGGAGAATAACAAAAAGTATTGGAGATTTTGATACTTTTATTAGAGAAATTGAAATTAGGGATCCTCCTTTGGCCAATGATGAGTTTATATTGTCTAATGGTCAGAGTGGAGCAGTCTGGAAGAGGTTGGACTAGTTTTTGTTTTTGATAGGATGAGAGGATTACTGTCTAGGGGTTAGACAAGAGGTATTGTCTAGAGTGGTCTCAGATCATTGTTCTTGGGGATTCTAAGTTTGGATGGGGACCTTGCCCGTTTAAATTTGAGAATATGTGGGTGAAACATAGAGATTTTAAAAAGAAGATTAGGGAGCGGTGGGGAGAGGTAAAGGTTCAAGGGTGGTAAGGATTTAGATTTATGAAGAAGCTTGAAGTATAAAACAAAGACTGAAAGTGTAGAATAAAGAGGTGTTTGGAGATATAAGGAAATCAAAAAGATTTATTTTGGAAAGGATTGATGAAGTGGATAAAATTGAAGAAAATAGGGGAACGGATGAAAGTTTGAAAAGAGGTTAAGAATTAATGTGAAAAAATGGTATTTAAAGAGGAAATTAGTTTAAAACAAAAATCAAAGGTTAAATAGGTGAGAAAAGGTGATAATAACAGAAAATTCTTCCATAGGGTGGCGAATGGGAATAAACTGTGGAAGTTTATTGACAAATTGGAGTTTAATGAAGGATTGATAGTTGAGGATGAGGGCACCATTGAAAGGGAGATTATTAGTTTTTTTTGCTAAGTTATACTTAGTTCATGGTGGACCTAGACCTATGTTGAGTGGTCTTGAGTGGTGCCCCATTGAGGTAGAGATTGCAAGATGGATGGAGAGACCTTTTGAGAGGGAGGAAGTAAGGAGAGTTGTTTTTGGGTGTAGTGGAGAAAAGGCCCTAGGTCTGGATGGTTTCACTATGGTTATTTACCAGGTTTGTTAGGAAGAAATACAAGATGACTTGATGAGGGTTTTTGAGGAGTTCCTTCATAAGGGTGTGATTAATAGCGTTACAAATGCTATATTTATTTGTCTGATTCCAAAGCAAATTCTCTGAAATTGAAAGATTTTAGGCTTATTAGTGTGGTTACAAGTTTGTATAAGATCATATTGCTAAAGTCCTTTCTATTAGGCTTAGGGAATGTTTGAGTGAAACAATTTCAAAAAGTTAAAGGGGCTTTTGTGAGGGGAAGACAAATTATGGATGTAGCACTTGTAGCTAATGAGGTTGTTGATAAATATAGGGAAAAAAGAAAGGATGGTTTTGTGTTTAAAATTGATTTTGAGAAAGTTTATAATCATGTTTAAAAGGGATTTGGAGGGAGATGGAGGAACTGGATTAGGGTTGTTTGGAGTTGAAATTTTTTTCAGTGATTATGAAAGGAAAATCGAGGAGAAGTTTTAAGGCTTAAAGGAGACTTAGACAAGGGGATCCGTTATCACCGTTCTTATTTTAGTGGTAGATGGGTGGAGTAAATTTATGAAAAGGGAATAGATAAGAAATTTGATTGAAGGATTTATGATATGGAGGGAAAGAATTATAGTATCTCATTTGTAATTTATAGATGATACTATTTTCTTTTCTTTAGGTGATGAACAAAAATTAAAAAATGATTGTTGATGTATTTGATAAAATTTTTGGGCTCAAGGTTAACATAAATAAGAGTATTATTTTGGGAATTAATTTCTGTGAGCAAAAGGTAAATAGGGTTGCTATGGAGATGTGATGTTTAGCGGGTGGGTGGCCAATGCAGTATTTAGGACTTCCTTTGGGTAGTAATCTGATGTCACAGACTGTTTGGGATCTTGTCGTGGAGAAAGTTGGGAGGAGATTAGATAGTTGAAAAAAATATTTCTAGGGGGGGTTGGTTAACATTGATTCAATTGGTTCTGTTTAGTATTCCAATATATTTCATGTCTCTTTTTAAAATGCTTACCGGGGTTGCGAGGAAAATTAAAAATCTAATGAGAGATTTTTTATGAGAAAAGTTGGGGAAGGTACAAAGGGCCATTTGATTAGATGGGAGGTGGTGACTTAAGACAAAAGAGAAGGGAGGGTTGTCAATTGGAAATTTGGTGAGAAAAAATTATAGCACTGGTTAGAAAATGACTTTGTAGAGTTCCTTTGAAATAAGATTCCTTGTGACATACCGTTATTAAGAGCAAGTATGTTTTGTAAGCAAACGGGTGAGATGTTAATGGTGTTGAAAGAGGTTCTTTTTTGGAGTTCGTGGAGGTTTATTTCTTAGGGATTACCTTGCTTTTCTCAAAGAGTCAAGGTCGTTGTGGGAGATGAAATTCGTGTGCTTTTTTCGGAGGATCACATTCTAATCTTATTTCTTGGGATAGGGATCTCAAGGATAAGGAATGTTCGGCGTTGGTGATACTCTTCTCCATGCTTAATAACATCAATCTTGATCCACAATTTGTGGATAGGAGGAATTGGATTGGTAATCTATTGGGGGTCTTGTCTTGTAAATTGTTCTTTGAGTTTCTTATTGATGATCCTTTGCTTCCTATTTTCTATACATCATTGAAGATTTGGAAGGAAAAGGTGCATTTAAAGTTGCAAGTTTGTGCATGGACAATTTATCATGCTAAAATTAGCACTACTGAGGTCCTTCAAAAGAGGAGACCTAACTTTTGTCTTCAATCACAATAGTGTGTTATGTGTAGAGGTGAAAATGAGAGCGTGAACTATTTATTTTTGCATTGTTCTTTGGTACAAGCATTATGGAACAAGCCTTTTGACTTCATGGAATTGTTTGGGCTGCTCCAAGGAATATGGAGGTGATATTTTGCTTGAATGATGTGGGGTGTGGGGGAAATTCCAAATGGAGGACCATTTGACATTGTGCTTTCTTTGCTACATTATTGGTTATTTAGAAAGAAAGAAATGTGAGGATCTTTGAGGACAAAAGTGAAGAATTTGAAGGGCTTTGGGAGAGGATTCACTTTTTGGCTTCTTTTTGAGCTTCAATGTCTAACGATTTTCAAGATATTTCTCTCTTCTGTATAAGAACAAGTTGGAAAGTATCTTGTGACTTGTTGTTTTGATTTTTTATCTTTTAGGTTCCATTGACATGTCTTGTGTCGGACTTCTTGTCCACACTTGATATGGCTTTGTATTCTTTCATTTTATTTATCAATAATACATTGTTTCTTATCGAAAAAATTCTTGATCCAAACATGGTATAATTAGATAGGATAAAGTGGTAGATCAATTATTCAATCACATCCCATGTTATATCCGACCCAAACAAACCTTTAGAGAATTTCCATCATGTTCTAGGGTAAGTTGAGTAGTCCATAACATGTTGATTCACATATCATGTTGTATTTTGTTTTCTCATATGGTACACCTTTAAGGATGTTGTGTCTTACTTTTATGATTATTGATATGTTCATGTCGAAGCATAGAGTAACCAATTTTATCTCATGCATGATGTAGGAGCGAGAGAGAGACCACTTCTCACAGTTTATAACAGAAGGTTTCACTTCTTATTGCAAGAGGAAGAGAAGAGATAAGGTGCGTATCGTCATTATTTATTGTTGCTGTTATTTCTTTGACTTTCCACTTGGATAATACTAATAAAATTTCTGAACATTTTGCACTTATTATTCTTGCCTCTTC